ATTTGAATATTTTCAAATAATAATTTGGATCAATGTTCGGAACAACTAGAACAACTTGGAACAACTAAAAAAATATTGAATTTCCAAACATGGGGGGCTACCATAGAAAAACGGTTTTTCTTGTCTGGCAGCTTCAAATTTTAGTTTTTTCAAATAATACTTTGGAACAATGTAGAACAAACATAGAACAACCCAGAACAACCTAGATAATAATAAAATTCAAAAAGTGGGGGGCTAACTTCACAGAGTTTACCCTGTGTTATGAGGGGCAGGCTCATCCTTACTATATAAATATAAAATTATAATAATCATGCAATTATTATACACAGTCAGGTCATAAGTATTGTCACACAGTAAAAACTTCTTTTAGAATGCTGGCCACAAAAAATTGTTCATGAAAATAAACGTGTATACTTTTTAGAAATTTACTCATTTTTAAATATGGAGTGGACGCTTAGAGAAGACCGTGTAGCAGTTATTGCGTTGCATCGTTGCGGTTATACGCCAATTCAAATTTGTGACATACTTAAAAATTTGAATATAACCAAAAGGTTCGTTTATCGTACCATCAAATGATACAATGAAGACTCTAGTGTATATGACAGGTCAAGAAGTGGTCGCCCTCGGTCTGTTAGGACTCCAGCAGCGATAAAGCTGTGAAGGCGCGAATTCAAAGAAATCCCAAACGTAAGCAGAAACTGTTGGCCCTTCAGATGGGGTTAAGCAGAACCACGGTGAAAAGGGTGTTAAATGAAGACTTAGGGCATCGGGCATATCGAAGAAAAACAGGACATCGTTTAAATGCTCGTCTAATGGACCTGAGACTGAAGAGATGCCGCGCTTTGTTGAAGCGGTACGCGGGAAAAAATATCGGGAAACTCTTTTGTCGGATGAAATTTTTTTACCGTAGAAGACAGCTACAACAAACAAAATGATAAGGTGTACGCACAGAGTAGTGAAGAAGCGGGCAACCGTATTCCGCGTGTCCAACGAGGTCATTTTCCATCCTCGCTCATGGTATGGTTGGGAGTTTCTTATTGGGGCTTAACAGAGGTACATTTTTGTGAGAAAGGTGTAAAAACGAACGCAGTTGTGTATCAAAATACAGTCCTGACGAACCTCGTGGAACCTGTTTCTCATACCATGTTCAATAACAGGCACTGGGTATTCCAACAAGATTCGGCGCCAGCTCATAGAGCGAAGAGCACACAAGACTGACTTTCGGCGCGTGAAATCGACTTCATCCAGCACGAAGACTATCCCTCCTCCGGTCCAGATTTGAGTCCGTTAGATTACGAGATATGGCAACACTTGGAGGAAAAGGCGTGCTCAAAGCCTCATCCCAATTTGGAGACACTCAAGATATCCTTGATTAAGGCAGCCGCCGATATTAACATGGACCTCGTTCTTGCTATGATAGAAGACTGGCCGCGCATATTGAAGGCCTGAATTCAAAATCACGGAGGTCATTTTGAATTAACTTTATTGTCATAAGAATCTATGTTTTATTAAGTTCATTTTGGTATATAAATGGTTACATAATGAATAAATTTGTTTCAATTATTTTATATTAAACATGAATTTATGACCTGACTAGGTTTCTATAATATTAGATTCAGATAAATTTTCATATAAGGAAATCTTCCAAGGATTTCGGTATAATAATAAAAAAAAAATAGTTTTACGAAATGATATATTCGAAATGGAAAAGGACTCAAACATCTTTGATTATTACTCACATTACTTATAAAAACGTAAAAATATCTCTATTACACAGAAAATAAGTAGTATTTTTCACAAAAGAAGTACCGCGGAAACTAATGGAACTAATTTGACAGATTGGCCGTTGTTGTTGTCAGTATCCAGAGATTACCCCCTGCGACCTCGCAAACTTTACCTCTATTTCAGTAACTTTTCATATTAGAAAAACTTCCAAGGATTCAATAACAGGTCGGTATAATAATAATAAAATAGTTTTACGAAGTGATATATTCGAAATGGAAAACGGGCTCAAACATTTTTGATTATTTCTCACATTACATAAAACAACGTAAAAAGATTTCTATTACACAAAAGTAAGTAGTATTTTACACAAAAGAAGTACCACGGAAACTAATGGAACTAGTTTGACAGATTGGCCGTTGCTGTTGTTGCCAGAGTGCAGACGTTGTTTGAACGCCAGAGAAATTTTATCCCGTTTTTAACCGACTTAAAAAAAAGGAAGTTTCGATTTGGTTAGATTTTTTTGATTGAAGTATTATTAAATATCTGAACTTGTTATAAGTTCTGCCTTGGATACGAATCTAAATATCAAAAGTAGCGTCATCACGGGACTTCTTCTGTGGAAAACACGATAGTTTAAATCAACTTCGTGCTTGACACAAATAAAGATGATAAATGAAATTATACATAAACAGCACAGAGTTCAATATCCATTTTGTCTTGTTTTTCATATACAAAATATAACAATGTTCTAAGCACATTATTAATATTCGTTTTTCTCATGTATTTAACCAAGTTAAATATACGCGTTTTACAAATGGACCTACATCCGTAGTACAGTCAAGTGTAAAAAATATATACACGTTCGTCAGAACCTGTTAATGTTTAATAACCACTACAATAAATACGGTACATCGATATGCTAAATTAGTATAGATGTTTGACACTTGATTGTAAATTGGCGAGGTTCGATCAATTTAGCAAGATACATATACACATTCGTGTTTAAGCATTTGTCTATCTGTCTATTTGCTCGCATGGTAGCATCATCTCAAGAGCGATAGAGTTCACAAAAACAAGAATAACAAAGAATTTCATTATAGTTTTGACGATACCCTTGACACTTTAAAAAGGCAAGCTAGAATAACATTATAATTATTATAAACGAGAAATAAACTGACAGTTTTTTACAATAATCTTTAGATATATCTATTTACTAGAATGAATGGATTCATGGACCTGGGCATGACGACGAAAACGCGATGATAACAAAGCGCTTTATCGACATTGACTGTAAAACAATGGAGTTTGACATTTGTGTGTCGATAAAAAGCTTTATGCTGTCATATCGAGGTGCTCATGCTACGGGGCAGTTGATAACGGTAATATTTATAGGACACCAGTTAAGAAGTAGTAGTAATGACTAATGGCCGATTTCAAGAACCCATTTACAGTAAGAGAAAGGAATTTCGGAGCTTAAACGTTATTATTTTTAATAATAACTTCAAAATAACCAGTGTTGCTAAGAAACGGTATCAGAAGAAGATAATCGTTTACCAGCGGTTGCTTTATTAGCATTGGCCATAAATCATCGTAATAAGTTTTAAACTACCCCAAATTACAGATTATCACATCAACAAGTGCGAAGCTGCACCCGTATTCACGGAAGTTATGTCAAACATTGTAATACTGGGCTGTAATTTTATGCATGTAAGCCATCTCAATCTAGCTACACCAGGGGCCAGATATATGGACCCTCAAAACAAACCATTTCGCTGAAAGGTATAAAGCTATAGATACAAGCAGTATTCTAAGAGGAATACCTTATAGCGCTGTCTCCTTTAACAACCAAATTTTAAAACCTAAAACGATACAACTATATTTTTCGAATACTTCCAAAACTAGATACTAAAGCCAACCCGTATGTCCGTATATTTTTGAAGTAGTAATCATTGCCAACGATAAATGTGCATATATTTTTTAACACTATCAATCTACAAATAGGGACTATTTATCTCCATCATATTTCGATTTATACAGACATGCTTCAGTCTTCATTGGCCAGTTGTAGACAAAACTACAGCCCAGTATGTCGCCTTGAGAATTAAACTTGCAACTTCACGAAATTAGTTTTTAAATATTCCACACGTTTTTTTAAACCTAAATACGAAAATTTTAAGATCTCACTATGTACAATAATCTATAAAGATATTGCATTGGCACGTAGCGCAAGGCGTATTTTCTTTTACTTAATGGTCCTTTAAGTACTCGTAAGATTTTATAACCAATAACAGAGGAAAGTTAAAAATAAAACTCAAGTTCTTATAAAGAATTAAATTATAGAGAATATAAACAGTTTGAGGACACGATCACAAAGTACTTCTTTACATTTTTTTATAGTCGTGTTGACTACGACTTGCGCATATGCCAAACGTAGGTACCTAAAAGGTACTTAAATTAAATTACATCATTTACAAAAAAATCAAGTTGTTATTCCATGAAAAAGGAAAGAAGGTATATTGTTTACAATTTATATATATATATGAGTATTTCTCAAAAAAGATGTACATTTGCAAAAAAAAACATGTCGCAAAAGTTTTGTGCCAGATCAAAAATAAAATGATTAACTTTCTCGCAAAAAAATTGTGGAGGAATGAAGACAATATATTTTAATTAGGTTTTGAGACTTCAAAGATCGAAAACACTTCATTATAATTATGTGAAGGACAAGTTGTCACTATCATCTTTTACTCTTCCATACAAAATCTTTTTGTCACTATGGGTACCAACGACTTTGCTGCTTCAAAAATTACTACTTATCGTATGTCTAACGTTTTACGTTTCTCTGCTTAGCACCTTAGTATAATATAGATCAAGGTTCATAGTTGTTCGTATCCTGCTTTCTTTAAGATATATTTCGATTCGCGCAAAATACAAAATGTCTCACTTTTTCACTTTTTAGTCACATAACTTTTTAGTGACACCGTTTCTTAGCAGTTTATTTAATTTCTGAACGAATCTATAGCACTTTGTACTGGCAACACTAAAAGCGTTCTTATTGGCTGACGGTAAAATGTCAGCGCCATATTTTTTTGTGTCAAAAACTAGATTCTCTGCTTGCGGCGGCTGTTTTACTATTTCGATACAAAAATAAAATTTTAACTTTTTCTGAATAAGTACTTCTGAATTGTATATTAAGTAATTAAACATATATGTTAGTATAATCATTTCATTAAATTACATTCGTTAAATTCATTTTGAACAAAAATCTACCTATAAAACATGTTTTAGGTTATATTCCTCTTACTTTTTCGTTATGTTTCATCACGTAACGAAATAGTATTGTATAAGGCTGGGTATACAAATACTTTATTTATTATAATACTAAATGAAAATAAAATGTCGCTTTCTTCGTTTGTCTTTTTTGCCTTCCGAAGCCGCTCTTCTGATTTCGATGAAACTTTGGAGTTTCTGTGTGCCGGTGCCGGTGAAGGTACATAATATATTTTTTTTAAATCACATTGATTTGTTGCACTTATTGATTTGTCATTTGTGTGCATGATGGGGAAGGATAGCGCGCTTAATCGGCGAGCGAACGAAGCTAGCTGAAAATTAATTTGTATTTGTATTGTATTTGTTCGTTGTGATAAAAGATAAGATATTGTTTTATTTAGAATTAATAAAAAAATACGAGTAGTCCAGTCATTTGGTTAGAAAAATTGTGGTTACCTGGAAAGCTTTCCGGGAGTTTTGAAAATTGGTAATTTTATAGCTTTTGATGCGCACTTTCAGAATTTCGACATTGCTATCTCTTAAATTTACCGCTCGCACTGCCGTACTGGAAAAATGGCGCCTAAAAGCAGTTTTTTGACAATATCTCCTTTCCGACTTATTTTACGATATAAATAGTTACATATACAAAATTAAACTGGAGAAAATTACCTACAATTTATGTATCAACCTTTTGTTGATAAAGTCAATAGTTTTGGCGTAGGAGCGCCGCAAAGTGTACTCTATCACGCGTTTTGGCCAAAAACTCATTTCCCCGAAAAAAGTCCCTAAAATTGAAGATCTAGACTGTATCCCTGAGATAAACATTGTTAAAAAAATTCAATTGCTCAAAAAATCAGACAGTCTTTCTCTGATGAATGAAGAAGACGATGTTTATTTTTAATAACTTTTTTCTAAGATTTTTTTTCTTTCCTTTAATTTTGATTTCGGCAAATAATAAATTTATAACAAATAGAAACGTATATTTATTATGACCTCACTTCCTCCATCTCTATTAAAGCACTCAGTGCACACTCACCTTAGCTTTTACTATTTCGTTACAATATTTCGTTACAGCTTTTTCGTTACGTACATTTTTTGTGAGAAATACTCATATATATATATGAGTAGTTCTACAAAGTAAGGAATTTTCGACGGCTCAGCTAAAATGTCATGAAAAAATTGTTACAACCAAGTTTATTTTCATAATATATTGTTTACCATACCTATATCTACCTAGTCTCTAAAAATAATTTAGATACTAATATATTATCTTAGGAAAATAAATACTTAAAGCGTCAAATTCCCAGGATCCTGGAGTGTCCCACGAGCAAAATTGAATCTAATGTGCAATATTATTTATTTTCTACTACATTGAGCCCATAAGTTTAACCAATATTAATGATATCCTATTATTATTGTTACCTAGGTGACATATTATTAATTTATTGTAACAAAAACATTATAAAAACTTTGTCCAGAAGTTGTCCCAACAGTTTCATATCCTGCCCAATGTTAAATAAGCGAATATTTAATATTCTATTAGCCGCGCGACTTTGACGTTTAGCCGAGTTTGTTGCCGGTACGAAAGAGACAAAGAATATCACCTATTGTTTTGCACCCAGTGTGTTGCTTAGTCTGCCCGGCACAGTTGATGGACGAAGTCGCGTCATAATCAGTCGAGCTCACAGGATCCTGGTAAGATATTTAATTACGAAATTCATGTGGTAATATGGTAATTGTAGCATTTTGATGTATATATTGCTTACACGAAGGCTTAATGCTGCTTGATTTTGGTTGAATGTTATAAATAGACGTTATTTTTAAATATTATTCCGAAATTCTCAGGAACCTGGTCTCAGGATCCTGTCAAATAAATAGCATTTTGATGTATATATTGCTTACACGAAGGCTTAATGCTGCTTGATTTTGGTTGAATGTTATAAATAGACGTTATTTTTAAATATTATTCCGAAATTCTCAGGAACCTGGTCTCAGGATCCTGTCAAATAAATAGCCAGGATACTGAGAAAAATGCAGGATCCTGAGTGTTTATATTGAAATATAATTTTTGTTCAACATCATATGTTACTTTTTCTGCTATATTCTATGAAGTCAAAATAATAATAATATGTTTGTTAACATCATTATTTTATTAAAGCTAATTTTGTAGGTTTAATGATAAAAGTTCCTGTTCAAGACTGATTTAGATAGATAATTAGTATAAGTCAAGAATAGACTTAATTATCACGATAGTTCAAGATATTTGGACAATTACAAACTAATGGTTAGAAGCGTAGTTTTTATTTGTGAATTTATTATTAAATAAACGTTGATTTTGATTGATATTTGTTTAAATCCTCAGTCTCCTGATTACAATCTCAGTTTCCTGCTGCTTGATTTCTTAAAATTGCCATAACTCGAATATTTTTGAATATTTTGTCCGTTCTACTTAACACAGGCTAAAAGACCATGTAATCTTTATGATAAACTATATTTTGTAACCATAATGAAAAAAAAACGTCGGGCCGGAATCGGACTCATTTTCGTCCTTAGTTTGTAGAACAACCCGTATATTTTAATTATCGACCACCAAACTGTTTGAAATTGCAAATGTATTTTTTGCTATTTTATCTATTTATTTGTCAATTTGTAAGTAGTTTATCTTACCATATTTGAAAGGGAATGAAACAATGTAAAATTTACAATTAGCAAATACGAAAAACTATGTGAAGTGCCGGCATAATCGCAATCGATTGAATGTTCGCCGCCACACTGAATATAATCCTAAAAAAAATAATGAAAGAAAGCAATACATAATAGAAATTAATATAATTATTATAAAAAAGACTTATATTATTATTGCATTGAGAATACAATTTGCGAACCAATATAAAATCTCTAAAGAAAAATATTGTACAATTTTGCATTGACAAAGCTTTTATTTCAAAGCAAAAATAAGATGGTCTTATTTTATCTCCATTTATTTTGTTTGCGTTACTATGAAATGAATAGTCTAGAAAGATACGATCACAGTATGTATTTCAGTATCTACAACCAATTTTTCTATATTACTCGCTTATTCTACGAATGAGCACACAAATACTGGCTATGACCAGTAAATATTACGCCCCACAACCATAACACGATTGCTCTGTATTGTCTACTTCGTCGATCCTCTTTTTAAATTATCATGAAATGAACCTTCCAACTTCCTCTGCATATTTGTCAAATCGTGTTGACTATTGTGATCAACGTCACCACAAGGATGTTTATGAATGTGAGTGATAGTTTAGAGAGGCCGCCACTGTCTACGTAAATGATCGTGGGTGTATTCCGAAATATACATCAGTATACTGGCCAGTGACGTCACGAATCCGATGCGATATTGTACTGATATGCTATCATATTTTTACCGGGAAAACGAATATGAAGTATGACCGAGCGTGCGTGAGAAGCATTCAAATTTTAGTTCTTTTTTTATTTAAAGGACAATAAGGTAATTCGAACAAAAAGAATTCCTTTTAATTGATGGATAATTGAGGTGAATAAAGAATCTTCTTTATTTGCACTATTTTTAATATTTGAAATATTAAAAATAGGTGCAAATAAGACGGCGGCGTTAGTTCCAATTTTCGCCACATTCATAAAGATCTTTGTCGCACTATATCTAGATACCCAAAAGATAAACATTAAAGAATACAAGAACATAAATAAGCTATAGCCTGTACAAAAACATCTTTAAATAAGCCTGCAAACATACAAAGATGTAGCGTAAAGTTAAAGGGTAAAACTCGAGCCATTACAGAAACGAATCTTAGGCGCGGGACACACAGCAAAGAGCTATGCTAAAGCTGAGTTCGTTATTTGGGTCTGATCAATCTTTTTGGTCTGAATTGTTTGTTTATTACATCTTGAGGTAGGGGAGGTAATCTGAACTGTTTGGTAATTCCGCTCAGATCAGTCCGATGTAAATCTGTTTTCTCGGAGTATTTTGACCGACGAGAAAGATTAATCGGGTGAACTATCATAAATATGTACTGTGATTGTGAGGTTAGTTTCTGTTTGAGGTTAGAAGTTAATGTACGGTTTATCGGTCCGTTCGTTAATAACAAATTACTCAGAATAATCTGAGATCACCTGACCAAAAATCCGTCGCATCTGCGATGCAAATACCGAACTTAGCTATGCAACATGAAGAAGACGACGTTTATTCATTAGTAATTGCCACTGAGACTTTTCTGTTTTGCAAGGCGATGCATCTTACTTTTTTATACAAAGGATGCGAAAGAGACATATTATGGCCGCATCCCGTCTGCGTTTTACTTGTTTTCTGTCTGACCCGCGCCTAAATATGCGACGCAAGACATTGTATCCCTCTCTCGCATGCTTGCGTCGCCATTTTCAATTCGGTTCTTTATTGACGTGAGTAGTACTCATAGATATACAGAATGGATTATGCATTCCCGACCCAACTGTGCTGATCAGCGTGAAGGAGACGAAGCGATCATGCGGCCAACATTTCGTAGAGGTATCGGCTGCACCAACGCTTTTGTTCACTTTGGACAGTTGTCGATTACATGCAAGTGTTAGTCCATTATCTAAGTCTATGGCAGTACTATCTAAGCTTAAGAAAACAACCGACCAAAAATAATAATAAAAAAACACTAAAGAACTCTTCATAAAGTACACTTTCTCCAATGGAATGGGAATATATAAGACACTTAATTTTATACCCTAATAGAATGAATTAACAACCAAATACTTGTTACACTCATCACTTTCAACGTTCGTTTTTGATACTTGTATTTAAGTAGGAATCAGTTGTTTTTTCACCACCCGAAAATACCCGTAGAATGAAACTTAAAGGTAAATGCATTTATCATCATACTGAGATACGTAAATTTATTGAATGCTTGCTCGTATTACAGAATGAAAACTAAGTGTTGATCTTTACTTGAGTACAGTCAGAAAGGGATGGCGTTATGTGCTATACACAGCGGCATCCCTTTCTAACTGTACTCAAGTTTAGATCAACACTTAGTTGTTATTCTGTAATAGGAGCCTTAGTCACTGACGATTCAAAAGAGATCAAAACTATGGACGATTCAGGAGAGTTGTATTAAGCTTCGGATCCCATAGGTGCGTTATTATCAGGGTAAGGCATGCTTCCAATTTGAATAAAGGAATTTCGTCTTTGACTTCTGACAGCTATTTACCATCACCAAGAAAGTATCCGCATTGTTGGTGATCATTAGATCACAGATTAAATATCCGACATATGACCAACTTATTACAAAACTTGGACTAAAATAAGACTTACTTTAAACCTAATGCTGTCTCTGCCTCCTTTTGAGCAAACAAAGGCGACATCATCATATGTAGACTAGGTATAACTTTTATCAAAACTTTGTAATAAGGTGATGAAGATAAACAAAGGCGACAGACATCATCATATTTAGACTAGGTATAACTTTAATCAAAACTTTATAATAAGAAACTTTATGATGAAGATTTAACGAACTGTTTAATAGGGCTATTACAAACAAGAAAATCCAATAAGAATGTATGCAGCGATTGGCGTATGTTGAATGAGCTAACGACTTTTTGAAGGAAAACATTATGTGCAATGTCTGAGTACCAAATAGAGAAACTACTATTATAAGTAATAGCTTAGCCTCATCTGTGCGCCCGTCCGTTTGTCAGCAGTTAAACAATCACAATACAAGAGTGTTAGAATTTTTATCGAATGTATATTTTTATTGCCATTTAAAAGATAAATTCAAATGCGATTTTACGTCAAATTAAGAGTTTCATCACGCTATATAAGATTCGCAATCTACTTAGAAAAAATGTAGTAACTTGATGTGTGGCTTTCTGTAGTAGTCCGTAGCTCGTCGTGCGTATACATATTAGTATTAAATGATAATGAAAGTAAATGATAATTAGGAACAACAAAAATGATGATGCTGATTCATGTGACAACTGCTACGATGCTGATTCATGTAGATTACAATACAAGTACCAAAAAACGGTGAAGTTACAAAATCACGTGGGAACTACTCCTATACACCACTGCCATCTTATAATCTAAAACTATACATTGCAAATATGCATACAACCTAGGTATATTATAAATTTTAATCATATGTATTTGTATGTATTTATATATAAAACGTGATGAATCAATTTTGTAGAGCGCTGAATCTGAATTTATGATATTATTAATATTATGTTACATATCTTAGGAGTAATAACTGAATATTAGAATTTATCTATTGATAATTTCTAAAAGATTAATATTTACAAGCAACTGCATTTATTTAGATTATTAGACAATGACGCCGTGTCCTAACCGCAACATACCTAAAGGTTAAAATTTGCATCTATCCACCACGTGATCATGGATAACTTATAATCACTTATCCCCCTTATTAAGAAACGAAGACTTGACATGGATTAGATACTCCATGTTTTGTCTCTGTCAATTGAATGACAAATGGCATTTGAGTGATATGAACAAAACACGGCGTAACTAGTCTAATGTTATTCCTTGTTTATTAATAAGGCGTTTAAAGTTTTTGATTCAAGCTGAAAACTGATTAGATGGATATTGGATTAAAAATTTTATAATGTTTTATAATTTTTTATAAATTTAATTATAATTGTTTTAAACCACTTATGTTATGTGGTTAAACCTTGCAAAAATTTTGAGATCATTATCTAGTGGATTGTGGTTCACTTGCGTTTCAGTAAGTTCCGGTTAGAACGAGCCTCTACTGGTGTAATACACGCTTCATAGCCAATATTAATTACCCTATATCTAGTCAGAGGTATATCCCGTCTCTTGCATCAGAGGTTGCATGTCCTCTCGACGTTTTTCACCCCTATTCGCTATTCTGGTAACACCGTCTAGCACGCCTATTTCTGACAACCTGTAAAAAAGTGTGATGAATATACAAATGTTATTTTAATGGTTGTTTATGTGTTCCGTTATAAGAATATATTATTTCTCAAGTTGAAGGTGCAGTAGTAAAGGTACATCAGAACACATCATCCATTCATTCATACATTAATAGTGGTATATACTCACTTTTCAGTGTTCTCGTACTCCGCGTGGTTGGCGCTGAAGTAAGGGTTGGCGGATCTTATACCCGGTCATCAGAACACACCATCCATTCATTCACTCATTCCTCTATCAATAGTAGTTTATACTCAAACTTCAGTGGTTTAAACTCACACTTCAGTGTCCTCATTCTCTGCGTGGTTGGTGGTGAAGGAAGGGTTGGCAGCGGCCGGCCGGAACTTGTGTTCCGGCCGGCCGCTGCCAACGCTACCGGATACAATCCGGTCATCAGAACACATCATTCATTCGTCCATCAATATTGGTTTATACGCACACTTCAGTGTCCTCGTCCTCCCCGTGGTTGGCGGTGAAGTAAGGGTTGGCAGCGGCCGGCCGGAACTTGTATCCGGTCGTCAGAACACATCATCCATTCATTCATCCATCAATATTGGTTTATACGCACACTTCAGTGTCCTCGTCCTCCGCGTGGTTGGCGGTGAAGTAAGGGTTGGCAGCGGCCGGCCGGAACTTGTATCCGGTCGTCAGAACACATCATCCATTCATTCATCCATCAATATTGGTTTATACGCACACTTCAGTGTGGTCGTCCTCCGCGTGGTTGGCGGTGAAGTAAGGGTTGGCAGCGGCCGGCCGGAACTTGTATCCGGTCGTCAGAACACATCATCCATTCATTCATCCATCAATATTGGTTTATACGCACACTTCAGTGTCCTCGTCCTCCGCGTGGTTGGCGGTGAAGTAAGGGTTGGCAGCGGCTGGCCGGAACTTGTATCCGGTCGTCAGAACACATCATCCATTCATTCATCCATCAATATTGGTTTATACGCACACTTCAGTGTCCTCGTCCTCCCCGTGGTTGGCGGTGAAGTAAGGGTTGGCAGCGGCCGGCCGGAACTTGTATCCGGTCGTCAGAACACATCATCCATTCATTCATCCATCAATATTGGTTTATCGCACACTTCAGTGTCCTCGTCCTCCGCGTGGTTGGCGGTGAAGTAAGGGTTGGCAGCGGCCGGCCGGAACTTGTATCCGGTCGTCAGAACACATCATCCATTCATTCATCCATCAATATTGGTTTATACGCACACTTCAGTGTCCTCGTCCTCCGCGTGGTTGGTGGTGAAGTAAGGGTTGGCAGCGGCCGGCCGGAACTTGTATCCGGTCGTCAGAACACATCATCCATTCATTCATCCATCAATATTGGTTTATACGCACACTTCAGTGTCCTCGTCCTCCGCGTGGTTGGCGGTGAAGTAAGGGTTGGCAGCGGCCGGCCGGAACTTGTATCCAGTCATTACGAAGAATACGAACGTGGCCGTCTCACGGAACATCTCGTCTATCCATGAATATTGGAACGGCACCGTTATCTAAATCATAAGTCAATTATTATGCATTGTGTACATTTGCCGTGCAACGTACAAGTGAGTCAATTTTAACTTTTTTTGCAAGACATCGATTCAAATGTAATGGTTGTCAAAGTGGTGTGTTTTATTATATGTTAGGGGCTTAAGAACAAAAACTTTAAATTTTTTTCGTAATTTGGTAACAAGCGAATATGACGTTATTGTGCTATGTGAAACCTGGCTCACCAGTAGTATTAAAGACATGGAATTATTTGACAATCGTTATTGTGTCTACAGACGAGATCGAGAAATGAGCGGTTTCCACAGTGCAAAGTCGGGAGGTGGAGTATTAATTGCGGTGTCTAAACGGCTTACTTCATATAGATTGCATAGTTATGAAAGTAAATGTGAGGATGTTTGGGTGGGTATCGATATTAAATTTAATAACAAGTTTCAGCAACTATGGATTTGCGGAATATATTTACCACCTCCTTTACAAATGCACATACTCGAACATTTCTTGAGTAACACCAATGGAGTTTTAGAAAAAAATAGTCACTCGCTTATTTTAGGCGATTTCGGACCGGCACTGCTGATTCGCCAATGATTGCTTCTTGTGCTAAAAACGGACTTTATAGTCAACTATTACTTGATTTTATATCCTTTAATAATTTTGATCAGTGCAATCATATAGTAAACAACAAGAACAAAATACTTGATTTAATTTTATCTAATGTCCCAATGGTTAATGTCCAGAGCTGCGTATCACCCTTAACTAAAGTCGACCCGTACCATCCTCCTTTAGAAATTAAATTGAAATGTAATATTAATGCAAGTTATCTACAAACTAATTCACACCACACATAAATTTCACAAGGGAGATTATGACAGCATTATTAAACATTTAGGTGCTTTAAAATGGGATGAGGAGTTTCGTGATTGTTTTTCGGTGGATGTTGTAGTAGAGAAATTATATAATATAATTAGTGAAACGGTCAAAATGTATATTCCCCTATCTTCTCCTTGTCGATCTAGTCGTTATCCTGCTTGGTTCAATAGAGATATCATATATGTTTTGAACGAGAAGTAGAAATACAGGAAATTATATTCTAAATTTAAAAATCCACGTGATAAAATAACTTTCAAGATGCTAAAAGCAAGGTCTATTATGTTGATAAATAAAAGTTATATTTATAAAGTACTTATCCACTATTGAGTCTACGATAAAGAATAATCCAAAGATTTTCTGGGCCTTTATAAAACAAAAAAACAAAAACAGCTGCGGATATCCATCTAGGATGTATTATAATAATGTTTACTTGACGAATGGCTCTGATATATGCAATAACTTTGCTAAGCACTTTTCGTCAATATACTCTTCAAATAATTCAAATAATACAGAAGATTCAAGCCATGTTGTTGAGACAGTAATGACATCAAATTATCTCCAAATAATTGTTTTTACCCTTGATGAAGTCAAACATGCACTCAAACGTATTGACGCAAGAAAGGGAGCTGGGTAAGATAATTTGCCAGCAGTATTTGTTGCAGTGTGCTGATGTTCTTGCTGAGCCTCTTTGCATAATTTTTAACATGTCATTATCTTCTGGAGTCTTCCCCGCTTTATGGAAAGAAGCACGTATTGTTCCTGTCCATAAAGCGGGTGACCGTGCAAACATCGAAAACTTTCGTCCAATATCAATTCTACCAATATTTGGCAAGATATTGGAGTCTCTGGTGCAACATGTAATATACTGGCATGTGAAACAGTTGATTGTACCACAGCAGCACGGGTTCGTTAAGGCTCGATCTACAACAACGAACTTAGTCAGCTTTGTAACGAATGTGGTTGATGCAGTGGACCCTAGGGCTTCCGCTGACGTCATATACACTGATTTTAGCAAGGCCTTCGACCTCGTTAATTTAAAAATCCTCATTAAAAAAATTTCACAGTTCGATATAACTGGCCCTTTGTTGCAGTGGTGTGATTCTTATCTTTCTAATCTGGAGGCGCCTAAACCCCCATAACTTGGGTTGTGGGAAAATAATAATTTTGCGTGTTCAATAGTTATATGGTGAGGCTAACCCTAGGCGTAGGTGGAAAAGTGGACTGTATCTGGGGGGCGGTAACACACAATCATATATTATTAAAAATACAAAATAAACTGCGCCTTGCAAATGCCTTATCTATTTAAGGACGAAGAAAATGGTTGAAGACCTGGAGACAAAGGAAAGGAACATGCGCACTTACCTCAGCACACCATCCGTTTGGTCGCAAGTCGTCCTTCAAGCACTTATATCGAAAATAAATCGTTTGCCGGCACAGATTCTGTATTAATATAAATTGCACAATGTAAAATGTTCAGTAATAGTAATGATCGCACAATAATTTTTGGATACTATATCACAACATGAGTGTCTTCCATTACAACGTTCACAAGAGAGAGGCGGAAAAAGTATAATGTCCTATGCACTCCGCGGTGTCGTCGAAAAGCAGGACGGCCATAGCTAAAAGTGCACATGTATGAAAAGGATGGGAGACAGATAGGATTAAGGCAATTGCAAGTGCATAAACTACCCTATAATGAAATTATTAAAAGCCCGCAAAAATACGAAATCCAACATCCCCCCGGCCTTGAAGAAACCCTTCAATAAAGGGAAAATTAATCCACATATCGTAGCATAGCGGAGCGGTTAAATATATTAAGGCTAGTAGAGAGTAAACAAAACAAAAAGTAAACTAAACTTAAATGTATTTGTCTAAGTGACAACGTAAACTAAATCAATGGAAATGGTCTATGACTCTATTGAGTCGGAAGCGGGCATAGCCGCACAACTGGACTTGTAAACGCCAGATTTTGTTTTTACTTCCGCAACGCGAATAATTCCATCCCTACCAGGGTATAGACAGGTTACAATTCCTAAAGGCCACTCACTGTAAGGGTGGAGCGATATCAATATTTAACAACACTATTGTGCCTACCGTTATAGGATTTGAAGGAGTATTCCATTTTTCACGCGATTGCAAATTATGTAAATATTCAGATTGAAATCGTTTCCAAAACGATTGCACCAACTTATCTATTAAAGAGAAACGAGACAATAAGTGCAATCGCTGCTCGGTCAAGTCAGCCGCGGGTAAACATTCTAGTGGAGCGGTACATAAAAAATGTGAAGGCGTAAGCGCAAGCGGTTCTGACGGATCGGAACTTAAAACATAAAGAGGCCGGCTATTAAGAACTGCCTCAATTTGAGTGAGTACAGTAGACATCTCCTCAAACGTGAGGATTTGTTTACCAATCACGCGAAATAAAAGTGACTTGGTACTCTTAACGTTCGCTTCCCATATGCCACCAAAGTGACTAGCCGTAGGCGGGTTCATTCGCCATGTAATGAGGTGCTTCGCGAGCTCACTACTAAATGTTTTATAATAATCATCAGAGAGTAGAAACTCGTTAAGTTCATTAAAATAAGCTTTCGAAGCGACAAAATTCGTGCCGTTGTCGCTATATAAAAAATTACAAGGACCCCTTCGCGAAATAAAGCGTTTAAACGCATCAATAAATGAAGTGGAAGCTTAATTTGAAACAAGTTCTATGTGAACTGCTTTAGTAACTAGACATATAAATATACATATATAAGCTTTTACGCTATGAACACCACGCTTACGGTACGGCGTAATATAAAGCGGACCAGCGTAATCTACGCCCGTCTGTATTACATTTTTCTAATCTACACTTAGGCAAATCTGCCATAGGCGGAAATGTAGGTTTGGGGTTCAACCGGAAACAAATGTTGCATAGGTGAATGCGCTGACGAACAATACGTCTAGCTGAAATTATCCAATATTTGGATCTTAATAAGGAAATTAATAACTGCGGCCCAGCATGGCAATTATTTACGTGATAAAATTCAATTAATAACTCAGTAATACGTCCATGTTTAGGTAATAAAATCGGGTGTTTAGATGAATAATCTAATGTCGAATTCGATAAGCGACCTCCGACTCGTAAAAGCCCGTCACTTAGAAATGGAAATAATTTTCGTAACTTAGGAGAACACGGCTGGCCCTTTGCGATGCATTTTATATCATCAGAAAAATATTGTGTTTGAACTGCGTGAATAATTTTTAACTCTGCGATATTTAAATCTTCAGCGGTAATGACGTTGTTCCGCGGGAGCCATTTTATAAATCTAAGCGCATATACACTTGACGAAATAAGCTTTCGCCAAGTGGAACACCGTGAAGCTAATTCTATAAGAGGATGATTAATTGCAGTAACTGCTGTCACGTGAGAAACGGTTTTTTCTTCCGGTAACAATAACCGATTTGATATAAACTTTTGCATAGGCCAGTCGTTGATAGGCAAAGAGAGCCAAGGCGGTCCCTTAAACCAAAGCTCATGCCGAATGAGCTGTAAAGGTGAGAGCCCACGAGACATACAGTCTGCGGGGTTTTGTAGGCCAGCGACGTGATATAAATTATCAGTGGAAATATTTTCTTGTATTTGTAAAATGCGGTTAGCAACATAAGTATTAAATCTATGCGGTGAGGAAACCGACCAACATAAAGCTACTTCGGAGTCCGAAAATGCAAAAATATTATCAATTTTGTGTCTCGCAGAAGGTGTCATATACAGATTTAAGAAGTCGCGAAAGTAAAAGTATACCATTAAGTTCTAAACGGGCTAAAGTTATTTTTGGTTTTGCGGATGCGACACGTGACTTTGAACATACTAGTGAGACAATAGGGCTTTGGTCTCCATTTACGACGTGTAAATATATTACACAACCGTATGCGGATTCACTAGCGTCCGAAAAAGCTACTAAAGAAACTTTTGAGTATTTTTCAATACCAAAATGGCGCGGAAATGATAAATTTGAGATCTGCGGAAGTTCACTTAAATATTTTTGCCAAAGATTGACAATGCGGTAGGGAGGTACGTCATCCCAATCAAGGTTCAGAGTTCTTTTATTATTAATTTAGCGTAAAGAATAACAGGTCCAACGAGTCCTAGGACGTC